CTCTATTATTTTATTCCCTAGGTAGGCCCTCTCTATAGATAAGCCTAACCTGACCATTGGTTCTGGCACACTTCAACCGACTTCAAGTAGTTGGAATCAGTGGTGGAATGGGGGAAAGAAGTTATGGTGGGGTGGGGGGGTGGGGGCAATTGCCTAGGCGGCTTTCTGCCTTAAAGCAGACTTATGTGTTGGTGTCTGGCGGCTTGCTCTGTTTGCCAGTGGGTGTGGGGCCCATATGCTCAGTCTGCCTACAGAGGAAGATCGTCTGTGCCTCCTGTCTGCAGCTCAACTCGGTATAGAACTACAGACTGTTAAGCGTCTTGCGATGTCCAGCCAGATCAGATCGGGTTACCACATCAATGGTATGTGCGAGACCCATCACGTGGTCTGCAGCTCACACCTATCAAGTGGTGTACAACTCTGCACCTGCAGACAGAAGAGCTTGCACACCACCAAGGAATCAATTAAAAGATATTTCACTGTTTCAAGGTATTTCAACACTGTCAACTCCCCCCATACACATGCACACATTGTCACCTTACCACACACTACCTCCACATACTGCTCCCCCACATCATCACCCTCCCACACACCAAACCTCCACACACTGTCACCCTCCCATACACCACTCCTCCACACTGTTCCCTCTAGCACACGTCCCCATCCATACTGTCACCCTCCCACACACTGCTCCTCACACTGTCACCCTCCCACACACACTACCTCCCCATACCATCACCCTCCCACACACCCAACCTCCCCACACTATCACCCTCCCATACACTACTCATCCACACTGTTTCCTCTAACACACCTCCCCACCCATACTGTCACCCTCCCACACACTGCTCCCCCACACTACCTCCCCACACTGTCATCATCCCACACACTTCCCCACCCACACTGTCACACTCTCACACACATTACCTCACCACACAGTTACCCTCCCACACACTACTTCTTTACACTGTAACCCTCCAACACACCTCCCCACCCACACTGTCACCCTCCCACTCACTGCTTCCTCACACTTTCACCCTCCCACACACATTACCTCCCCACACTGTCACCCTCCCACACCCTTCCCACTTACACTGTCACACTACCTCCCCACACAGTTACCCTCCCACACACTATTTCTGACAAAGCACAAGGTCTGAACCCGAACCTCCCCCCCACCCCTGGCCGGCCATGTAGTGAATGCAGAGTGTGTGTCAGTGTAGTGGATGCAGAGGGTGTGTCAGTGTAGTGGATGCAGAGGGTGTGTTAGTGCAGTGAATGCAGAGTGTGCGTTAGTGTAGTGAATGCAGTGTGTGTGTTAGTGAAATGAATGCAGAGTGTGTGTTAGTGTAGTGAATGCAGAGTGTGTGTGTGTTTACTAGTTTATGCATGTAATGTAATAATGTAAATGTTATAAATGTTTCTCCCTCCTTCCTGCTTCTTACCTGGTTCAGGGAGGGGGGAGATTCCATCCCTGGTGGTCCAGTGGCATTGTGGGGCCCCCCGGCTCCCTATACTTGCAGAGGGTGCCCAGCAGACTGCAGGAGCACATTACAGCATTTCCCTCTCTCTAACTCCCGCGAGCGTGGTGTGCATGCCATGTGGAGCGTTGCCATGGTAACCCATGGCAAAGCTCTGAAGGCCGCGGGTCTTGCCGGAGAGGAAAATGCTGTAATGTGCTCCTGCAGTCTGCTGGGCCCCCTCTGCAAGTATAGGGAGCCCACGGTTGAACATATATATAGCGATCACCGCTATATATATGTGCAGAGAGTGAATGTGGGGCCCGGGACTGCCAGAGCAGTAAGAATTAAAGAACTAAAGTATGAATTCAAAGTGAATTTTAAACTAAAGGTCAAAATAGCTAATCTGGGAGGGGGGAGCGGGGGGTCTGACTGTCGTGGAGGAGAGTTGCAAGAGCTGCAAAAAGTCTCCCTTCATCCACTTCGCTGATGCGGCCTGGTACTCAATGATCTCCCAGCCCAGCAGTGCCTAGAGGGAACTACATGCCAGCGAGACCCCCGTTTCCTCCTCCCTTAGACCGGTGGGGGTGATCCCGGTTCACTCCTGGGAGGCAGCCCAGTGCTTGCAGACAGGCAGGTCAGAGCCATCCAAGCTGTAGAGCATCACAGTGACCCACACAAAATGGCAGAAACCGCGTGTTTACCTACCATTGGTGAGGCACTCTCGGATATGGAATCAAGGATAAACAGACACTTCAACGAATTCTGGAAGCAGTTAGCAGTCAGGCAACCCTATTGTGACGCATGGCACCTTTGTATTCTTACTTTAGCAAATAGCCTTGTCAGAGTTTATTTAATAACCCTGTATGTGTTGAGGGAAATCTAATTTTTACAGATATTTTTTTTCTTTTTTCTTGCACCAGACAATCTACTAAAGGAAGAAAAACATGTCTAACTTTTTGTTCTATTACAGCATATTTAAAATGAATCGCCTGGCTTTAAATGACACAGTAATGTGTTTTGCTGCTGAAAATAAACTTAAAAGTGTTCCTTGACTTTCATGAGACAAATAGAAAAATGTCTCTGGCATTTTTAGCTGTCTGTGACTGCATGGCTTTTTGTCAGTTGATCCTGGTACAAAATGCAATGTTTTCCTGCTACTGACTATTTGGGATTCCATAAAAGTAACTGCAAAGTCTTATAGGTGTTGGGAAGTTCACACTATTTCCAAAAAATATGAACAGAAGTCTGTGGAGCTCAAATTCCATTCTTTCACATGTTCTGAACAATAATAAAAAAAAGTTAAATAAAATCCATGTGGTTTTAATTTACAGACTGTCGCTATCAAAAAAAGGTTTAATTTCATTTTAACTTTACCCTATATTCAACAAATATGAATTTGGAAGGTTGTGAGAAATAAAAATGAATGTAAAAATCCACACTGTTTTCTGCACCTGGGTGCCTCCATCTTGCTTTCTCTCAACCATTGTTACAAGCTCTGTGCTTTGCACGTGGAAGCGAGCATAGAGAATATATACATAGAGCAATAAAAAAAGATTTATCCTCTACATTCGCAATGTGTGTCCTGAATATGCCTTGTCTGAACTGGATTATGATGCCATTTGCTAAATATTTCATGAAAATTTAAAGAATAAAGAAAACAAGTTATTAGTGATTTTCAGTGTTTTATTCAATGGTGTAAATTCATTTTAAATAATAACATATGATGTTGTTGTATTGTCTATCCCCCCCATCAGGTTTGTCTTATTATTGAGGCATTTTCTGCAGTTTGAGAATAATAAAAGTTACTGTTAGCAAATGGGGAAAAAAATAGATTATAGAGTGAATGGATCCTGCGGGAGATTCTCCTTGCCCTCATATTTCAAGGTGTTGGCAGTGTTCTATCAATAGTGATCTAGTGCATTTGGTGATTACTAAACTGGGAACCAATGGCGTACCTACCACGGTCGCAGGGGACGCAGCTGCAACTGGGCCCCTCACTGCAGGCCGTGGGCCGCCCCTTCTGTATTCCCCCTGTCATAGGCGTGCCCAAGAGGTGGCCCACTGGCCGCCTAATGGACCCCCCTGGCGGGAGGCAGAGTTCCTGTCAGATGTGGCGATGGAGCTGTGTTCTCTCTGCTCTGCTCCCTCTCGCGCTGTTTGCTGATGCCGGGAGCCGGAATATGACATCAGAGCAGAGAGGAACGCCGCGTCTGAGAGGAACTCTGCCGCCCGCCGCACTGAAGCCCCACTGGACCCCAGGGACAGATCCACGCCAGCTCTCCAGGTAAGGAGGCTGGGTGGACATTTAATATCAATAATTTGTGTGTGTCTGTAAGTGTATGTGTGTGTCTGAATGTGTGTGTGTCTGAGTGTGTGTGTGTGTGTGTCTGAGTGTATGTGTGTGTCTGTGAGTGCGTGTGTTTCTGTAAGTGTATGTGTCTGTAAGTGTATGTGTGTCTGAGTGTGTGTCTGTGAGTGTACGTGTGTATATGTCTGAGTGTGTGTATATGAGTGTATGTGTGTGTGTTCTACATGTGTCTGTATGTATGTCTGTATGTATGTATGGGTCTCTGTGTGTATGTGTCTGCATGTGTATCTGTTTGTCTGCAGGTGTGTGTGTGTGGGGGGTCAGGGACGTGTGGGGTACCGGGGCCCCATGGTTTCTAGTTACGCCTCTGCTGGGAACTATAGAGATTTGATAAGGAATTGAAAAAAAGGAGCGAAAAAATAGCCTTTTGGTGGCATTTTATAAACAAGGGATTTTATTTGATTCAGCAAATTAAAATAATTGTTGTCACAACATGGAAACCAATTCCTGACTTTGTAATGACAATCCAATTTCTCCTTCGATCAACCTACTGTTCCCATAATAATATATTCATGAATCTCTTTTTCCAAAAAAACTGACTTTTAAAAATATCTGCAAAATCTAGAAAAAACAAGCTAGAAAGGCAATTTTACTATTATTATCAAGAAGAACCCTTTCTTTTGCTGTAGGTAAAATCCGTTTCAACAAGTCTCAATGCGCATGGGTACAATCTTCCTGAATGGAAGATATTTTGTGCTGGTGAAGATGATGGTTAAGAAGGTTGGAGAAAGCTTTAAACTAGGAGTGAAGGGGAAGGTTAAAGAAGGGTAAACGTGTTAGATAATATATACAAGATATATATGTTTAAATATATTCTAGACTTAAAATAAGGCCCAGGACTAATTAAAGTATTTAGAAAATTGGGCAGACTAGATGGGCCAAATGGTTCTTATCTGCGTCACATTCTATGTTTCTATATTTCTATGAGAGGGAATGCAGCTAAAGTCAAGGGGGAAGTGGTAAGATTCTAAAACAGAGCAAGAAGATATTAATGATATGTTGCTCAAATAAAGTTCAAGAAACAAATGATAACTTTAAAGAAGCTTGTGTAGAAAAATGAGGGAGCTTGAGATATGGACCATACAAGGAGCAATATGACTGAGAATTGGTGGGATGAAACACTTCATTGGGATATTAATTTAAAAGGACATATATGATATAGAAAGGGGGCCGTGTATGTCGTTATGTTAAACATGATTTGAAGCCAAGTGTTAAAGGACCACTATAGTGCCAGGAAAACAAACTTGTTTTTCTGGCACTATATAGTCCTTAGGCCCACCCACACTCAGGGCCCCCCTCCCGCTGGGCTGAAGACCCATCAGCTACTTACCTTAATCCAGGCTCCCTCTGCGCTGGTGACCTCTCCTCCCCCTCCGACGTCAGCTCCCGAGTGGCGCCGAATGCACATGCACTGCCAGTGCCGCACGCGCATTCAAATCGCCCATAGGAAAGCCTTACTCAATGCTTCCTGTGGACGTTCTGCGTGCTCAATGAAATTTTCGCATTGAGTGCCGCGGAAGCGTCTCTAGCGGCTGTCAGAAAGACAGTCACTCGAGGCTGGATTAACCCTGCAATGTAAACATAGCAGTTTCTCTGAAACTGCTATGTTTACATGTGAATGGTTAAAACCTGGGGGACCTGGCACCCAGACCACTTCATTGAGCTTAAGTGGTCTGGGTGACTATAGTGGTCCTTTAACGACAGTTTCAGTGATGATACAGGTGAGGATGTGGACGCCTTATGGGTAGAAATATGCATAACAGGAAATAGGGGATATCTATGAAAAATAGGAATATGTTACAAGTCCCCAAACTTAATAATACTATTAATACTGATGGGTAAAAGCAACTGCTATCTCAAATTAGGGTAATTTGTTAATCTTGGGAGATTTTAATTATCCAGATATTGATTAGGCTAGAAGGACTAGTAGTACAGTGAAGGGAAACAGGTTTTTGAACATGATAATAATTTTAAGTTTTAATTAGTAAAAGAACCAAGAAGAAGAGATGCTTGTCTGGATATTGGCATAACTATTAATGTTGAATTATTTTCAAACATTTAAGTTAGGGAGCACTTGAAACATATTTACCATAATATGGTGTCCTTTGAGATTAACTAAGAAAAAAACCTATTTATATTGCCTGTACAAAAACACTTAATTTTAAATGGCTAAATTCAATATGAGGGCATCTGTACAACTAATTGACTGGAAGGATATATATTAACTGGCAAAACCACAGAGGATAAATGGAAGGTCTTTAAACAAATTCTACAAATGTACTTTGCTCGAAACATACCATTGGGAAACAAATATAAAAGAAGTAAATTAAAACCAATGTTTAGCCTAGAATAGGTATCAAGAACGTTGTTTGTACTTTCCCTGTTTTTTTGAGACACCTTTATTTGTTATGTAAACAAAATAGATAAATAAAAAATAAAAAATTCTTATGTTTAATTAATATTCCATTTTATGCTTAGCAATACCTTACAGACCTTTACTAAGGCAGATTGATAGTTCACACTAAGATTTGTGATATTGAAATCTATGCAGCTGGTCTTGCGATCTTTAGAAAGTGGGTCAGATATCACCAATAAATGGCAAGCATGTTCAAGCCAACTGATTAACATATTAAGAGATCGAGACTTATTTTAAAAATTTGAACTTTTAATGTTTAAGGGAATGGACTGGACACTTGTGAACCTGTAATTTGTGGCGGTGGAGTGAGAGCACTTATTGTACATAGTTTGGGCACTTCTGTGGCATAGTACGGTGCATAAGGAAGTGTAGATCCAGTGGCTTGGGGATTTCTGGCCTATTTTATCCAACCTCTCCAAAAAAGCCATGGGACCCAACAGTTTTTAAGGGACACTCTAGACACTATAACCATCTCATTAAATTAGTTATAGAGCCTGGAGTGCTGTGGTGCTGTTACTCCATTCAGTGTTTAACAATTATTGAGCAGTTTAAAACTGAATAAGGGTACTTGGCCACCCGTAATATAGGTGGTGAAGGGATCTGGATCCAACCATCAAGCAATCAGTCTAGTGATATTGTATATGTTCCATGAAGCTCTGGTAGCATTGCTCTCCTTTGTGTACTTACTATTTGTGACTGGTATGATGGTCAAATTTGTTTTTTCTCCAACATTTTCCAGCTTCTTATTTAATCATAAAATGGATGGTATGTAACAATGCCACGTACTCTAAGATTGCATTTGGGGTCTATATCTAGCATCTAGAAAGATGAAGGAGGCACACCTCAATGCTAAATGGGTATCTTCCCATGATCTCATTACACATTTTACTTGTATTTACAAAAAGTCTCAGCAGTAGACCCTACTATATCTACCAGATTTCATATCCTTGAGTTGTCTAATATAAACCTTAAGTAGCAGTCTCCACCAGTTTCTGTTCACAGAATTCCCTAAATTAGCATACAGTTTTTCTGTCATTCCTTCTCAAACGGACCCACCCCTGAGATTCCTTTTTCATTATTTGATTGGATAGAATCTTCTTTAAAAGTCACCTACATAACCTATGAATTGTTATAAATAAATAAATAAAAAAAGAACACACAGATACACACACAGACAATTCCTCACCTCTGCGGTCATATGAGTAATGGTCCCAATCCTACCCTGGGTCATAACGCGTCTGGTTACGTTTTCTGCCATTAACCCAAAATCCTAAATTCTAATGTGGCCCTCTTTGTCAAAGAGGATGTTATCAGGCTTGATATCTCTATGGATAAAAAAAATGAAATCTCTGATTAATCATTTGTTGAGTTTTATTTTTTATTTTATATATATATATATATATATATATATATATACACACACATATAAAAAAGAAAAATAGCAGTAGGCATAGAAAGAGATTGACGCAACCAAGCAAAGCATTAAGAGGGAAAAATTACTGGGAAATAAAGAAGAGATACAGCAGAGGAGATTATGACAGAGAGAGAGAGCAAAGCTTAAACACTTTAAGTAAGGAAGACGCAAGGAGATGGAAGCAGACTAGCTAAAAGATGAAGTACAGAGCAACAAATGAGAAGAACCGACAGAAAAGGAAAAGTTCATGGACTAACCGATGGATGATGCTATGTCTATGATGGAACTCAATGCCACATATCATTTCTGCTGAGTAAAACCTGATTGAAAATGTAAAAAAAAAGTGTTAAAAGGAATACAACCTAAATAATAATAATTATAATAATAATAATAATAACAACAACAAAGTATTTAACCAGGAAAGGTACATTCAGATTATTCTGGATTTCAAGTACGTCCCAAGGATGTTACCTTAGCCCAACATCCAGGGGTTGTTACTATTACCCAATTTAATGGTACTCATTTTATCTACCTCGGAAGGATGAAGGGCTGAGTCAACCCTGCCGGGATCTGAACCTGCGACCCAAGGGTTGAACAGATTCTACTGATGATGCATTAGCCCACTCACCGGCTTTGGTAAGAAACCAGTGCTCTTATGTAACCTATCTTGTTTATTCATTAAACAGTGTATTTTAGACAAGTGACACAGAAATTTGAATATTTAGCGAATCGAGCTGAAATATTTGGAGTTTGTGAATTTTTTTTTCAAATTTGACCTTAAACATTTTTATTCATCCACAATTTCCAGTTCATTTTACAAAGTCTCAAGTGATATGATTTTCATGTTTCTATTTCCCCAATTAGGTATCTCAGCCCACATTTCTATCACTCTGTTGCTCACATTGCATCATAGGTATCCATGTGATGTTTCTTCTTCAGGTAGGACGACAGGTTGCCATCATCAGGGCTTCACCAAGAAAGCATGTTTCTGATTCAGAAAACAGAGACTCGATATAATAAAGGAACATAAAGACTAGCACAAAGTTAAGTACGCAAAGTGCTCTATGGACAAGATAGTTATGTTTGGAGTAAAACATGAGTTTGAGAGGTGGCCAAATCCAGGCAGAAGAAATGCCTTCTCCAGCTATCTATAGGGTCCACTGCTCCCTGAGAAGATAATCAACTTAGCCCCCATTCGCTCTTTGCTCCTGTATGATGCAAGCATGACTTGAGAGAAGCAGGGGGGGAGAAATCATACCCACTACATGAACCCAAACTGACCTAATCATCAATATATTTAAACCAAGTCTATCCAAGTCTATCTAATGGAATATCTATTAGAGAATGGAGCTAGAGCCTTACTGTTAATTAACTTAGTTAAAAACTATTTGAAAGAAGCTCCAAACTAGAGCTGTCACCATTTTGTGTACACGAAAATCTGCATAACACATTTGTGGTTTGAGCAAATACTGAACTGCCACTGCTCATGAAATAACCAGGATATGGCTAAGCAGGATCTGCCAGTCCAGGTCCTCTCACTGTTCCCTTAGAACACTGGGATAAATACAGTCATGGGAAAAAGTATACAAGTAAAAGTATACCCTTATTTAAAGTATATAAGTAAAAGTACACCCAAGTTTTACATATCAGGACATATTAACAATCATCTTTCCCTTAGCAGGTCTCAAAATTAGTTAAATACAACCTCAGATGAACAACACATTACATATTACACCGTGTCATGATTTAATTAACAAAAATAAAGCCAACATGGAGAAACTATGTGTGAAAAACGTACTGAGCAGGTGCAAGCATGGTGTGTTAACACAATGCCAAGGAGGAAAGACAGTAGCAATGAGAAGCAATTGTTGCTGCCCATCAAAGTGAGAAAGATTATTCAAAAGTGGAAAACATTCAAGATAGTTGCCAATCTTCCCAGGTGTGGACATCCTAGCAAATTCACCCCTAGGTCAGACCGTGCAATCCTCAAAAAAAAAAGAGTTACATCTTAGATTCTACAGGCCTAAGTTAGCATGTTAATGTTAACTTTCATGAAAGTATAAAAAAACTGAAAAAGTATGGTTTACTTGGAAGAGTTGCCAGGAAAAAGCCTCTTATCTCTACAAACACTAAGCAGCATTGCTTAGATTTGTAATGTTGCATCTGAACAAACCAATAGAATTCTGGAATAATGTCCTTTGGACAGACAAGACCAAAGCGGAGATGTTCGTCCATAATGCACAGCGCCACGTTTGGTGAAAACCAAACACAGCATATCAGAACAAAAAACTGTCAAGCATGGTGGTGGAACGGTGATGATTTGGGCTTGCTATGCAGCCACAGGACCTGGGAACCTTGCCGTTATTGAGTCGACCATGAATTTCTCTGTATACTGAAATATTCTAGGGCCAAATTATCCCTAACCAAAGGAATACCTAGGTTACTTGTCACCTAGGGTGGATGTGTTTTGTGTTGTTGTTATAGATACACACTATTATTAACCTCTACCAAGTATCCCTTACTAGGACACAAATGGGGTGGTCCGGCACACTGTAATATGGC